CACACCTTTGTTGGAAGCTACTCCCAGAAGACTAAGAGATCGCTGATCTGGTCCAGAGTGGAAATTCTCATCTTTCCAATTTGCAGTGGTGACCAATACCCACTGTACAATGAATGTAAATGAACATCTGGACTAATAGCAGAAAGAAGGACTGGTGATAAAGTGTGTAGCTTCTTAACCACTACAATTACAGTTAATGAAATATCAATAGACAGAAGCAGATAGTAAAAATACAATTATATACTTTGAATTAACAGTGGGCTTCCCAGTAAAATGGGATGGTATTAAAGCATCCTGTTGGGACAGTTTATTCCATTCATTTGTCTATTTAAAGAAGTCTCCACAGATGCCCAACGTACTCTGGACAACCTTCCCACAATTAACAGTCTTACTATTTTGTCTTTGCTGAGCTTTAGGAAGACAATACCATTTATTTAATGCAGATTAAAATACACATTGATAATGAAGAACAGATTAGTGAAGTCTTATTTAATTACTATTTTCAGTACAGTTCACTATCAATTAATTATATTATCATGTAATAGCTAGCATACATCTTATCCCAATTGGTTAAACAGTTCTGCAACCATACTCCTACTGAAATCCACAGTAAAATTCCTATTGCTCAAAAAATCTTTAATGAAGCCCCTAAGACTCAGGAAAACAAGGCCAGTCATCTGTACTTTATGTTGCTTTGCTAGCATCTATGACTTTAAATGAAGTAAGGCAAAGTTACTCGGTTGTGCATATGGTTTGCCCTACACTTTCAGCTGTGCTATCTGCCATGGAGGAGTGCACTAAAACATGGGTTTGAAGGAGTTTAGCAGATGAATCAGGAAACTCAATTTATGCCATAACTTGGGTGTATTTCCTAGAGAAAAATCCTCAAACTGTAGACATTGTTTTTAACATAGGGACTCTGATGTTTGGAAAAGTGGCAAAAAGCATGCTGGTTATCAAATACATATGACTGCAGCACACAGAATAACTGAAATCCAGATATGCTAGAGACAACCACTGCTATACAATTTCCATGTTAAAGAATTGCTGAAAAATAAGAATAACCATTTGTCAATAGTACCAATATGCTGGGCTTCAATGGTCAGCTTGACCCCAGAACTTGCCACTATTAAATAAACCAATACCACATAACAGCTGCTCAAGACATTGCTTAGAAGAATGTATTGGATCATAACTGTTTTTTATTTAATTTGTCACCCTTTTCAGTCTTTAAACGCCTGAAGACAAGATCCTCTATACAAATGTGGCTGTCCATATATGAAAGTCTCTAATTAACCTCTATACACTTCCCTTCACAACATTCACCTGCATTTTAAAAAAATTGCTGATCTCAAGCATTTGAAGACATTGGAACTGTTTCCTCAGACTGTGTGTGTCTTTCAAGGAATAATACCAAGATGCTGACATTATAACACTATTTGTGGAAAACCCCAGACTCTTCATCATATTCACAGAGCTTAAGTCATGCTCCAGAAATTCTTGAGGTCTGCACTCAGGGTTAGTATGACCTTGTGAGAGAGTCAAGGTTCATTTCTTGATGCAGTTTCCTCCAGTAACTAGTACACAACCTAAAGCATCTATTTCATTCCTTTTATTAGACCCACAAAGCTTATTCACTATGTCCCTGCCCTCTGTCTCACTATTAGTACAAGTGAGACACATCAGCACAATATGCCTCATTAGCCAAGAACCAGTGATTTACAGAACATTCATGTTCTCTGACCGCTCTGTGCTCAAGCACACAATAAGTTTCCTGGCTGGAGCAGTTGATCCAGGGATGTGGCTGCTTTAAAGTTAAGGCAGACAGACCTGTTCTGTTACGAAGTAATGGAATTTACAGAATACAATTCTGCATGTTGTACAGAGAATGTTTCTGCTTTGCATTCACACACTGTCCTTGTACAGTAATCTCATAGCCCAATTTGTTCTCCAGTGTAACTTCAGAGCATTGCTACTCTATCAAATACTGCATCTCCCAACTTAGGAGTCTTGACTATAAAGATAAGTAAATCTTTTTCTTAATCTTTTAATTCTACATTACTAAAGCTAGCAGACTCTGCTCCTTTAGGTTATTACTGTGTAACATTTTATTGTAGCAAAACAAATAAAACAATATTTGCATTTTTAGTAAGTTAATGAAAAGCAAATTACTCTCGAGTAAATAAAGACAGTTTTGTTAAATAAATTCCTCCATCAAGTATAAATTTTTGTTTCTCTTGAATGATTACACAATGGTCCATGTAACTAACATCTACTGAATTTTTCCTCTTTACTTCGTCTTCCATTTTTTTCATACAAGATACTAAAAAATATCCCATTTCAAGTTTTCCTATTCCAAACTAGATTCGGAATGTTTCTCCTTTTGCTTAGCATTAAGCTTCTGGTTTCACAATTAACACACAGATCAAACAGATCTCAGGATGTCACCAAAATGTGTAATGCTACTATAATGCATGTTTAAATTTAGGCATGCAAGTAATCCGATTAAAGCCAGTATCTGCAAAGTCAAGCACATAAGCCAAAGAAAAGGTTCAATATTGTTTCTGTGTTCAGGTTCTCAAGTGCATTCACAGCCACTTCTCTAAAATGTTGTATCATCTGCATTCCATTAAAAAAATACTATCCCAAGATACTAAGTGTGTTGTACAGATACTCCCAAGAGTACCACAGAGAGATGCAGCATGGACTGGTTGTTCACAGTGTGCCTCTCTTCCTAAAACATAAAAAATATCTTAATAGTCCAATGAAGAAAACTTGAATTATAGTTGAATTATAGTGATTACAGTTAAAAGTAGCAATTCTCTTGTTTAACACAATGGTAGATACAAGACATTACTTTGTGCACAAATTTGAATTTGGTATTCTAGCAAATCCCACTGACTCGGTAAGAGTTTTATGCAAGGAAGTATAGAGGGATCCTTCAAATGCTTCTGAATTATTAATCAGGCCTGCAAGCACTTGCAAACCTGGGGTCTGAGAATTTGACCCTTTACTTATTTAGAATAAAAGGAAATTAGATTATGCTGCATTTGTTGAATTTCTAAATCCATTGAGATAATTTATTTGTAATATTTCAAAAGGTTTGGGTTTTTTTAATCATCTCATACCTGCCCAACATTTGTAAATCCTGTCATTCCCATAATGAATTTTAAGTATAGAATTTAAAAGTAGTTTCTCTCAAAATAGCTTACAAAAAGAATCATCATACTTCATGGTCCAAAGCACACAATAACCACTGGTAAAATTATGAAGTACCCTAATTATTGCATTACTCCTATACAAAATCTTTTGAAATACAATAAAGCAGGAACATAATTGATTTTTCTTTTTTTTTTGGTTTTCTAATGTCAGAGCAGAATAATGCATTTAACAGATTAATAGTCTGATACAGAAAAAAAACTCCTATGCAATAATTCAATGGAACGCAACACTGGATTATTAAAATGTGCAAGGCAGACTAACCATAATTTAAAAATTTCCAGCTGAACAAAAAATAAAGTTTGACACAAGACCTGCTGACTTTTAACTATACTTTAATTCAAATTTGTTTATCTAAATGAAAAACCCACTATCAACACAAACTACACTCACCATAACGGGTTGGGCAAACTCAAAGCATATTTTGAAATGTGGCTGTAAATAAAGACAGCAATTTTTTTTCCTAATATTAAAGGAACGGAACTAAACCAACATATTTCAGATTTGACAGGGGAGAGGTTGATAACATGCTAAGTAATTCAGTACCTTCATTCACGTGACCTTAGTCTGACTGCAGTTCAACTAGCCTATACCACCTGAATAATTCTTACAAGGGAAAAAACATAAATTAATGTATAGCTCATTAGTTTCCTAATTATTTCCCCTTCCTTCGAGACAAATAAAATGGCATCTTTACAGTTCATTTCTGTGCATAATACTACTGCAAGAATCATTATCATAGGTCTGCTAAATACAGAGATCAGTATCTTCACCTCTAGATACACCATAGCATCTCACATTGTTTTGACAGCATTTAATATATCTTTTACAATCTAATAAAAGCATCTGCAACAACCCCCACACACTATTAATTTATATTACAAGACACTGTAATATAAACTTACAGCATTTCTCAACTCTGTAAATAAGTCCGGAATAAGATTCATAAATGTAAGGAACAAAGCCCCCAGATCAAAACAGTAACTTAAAAAGAACCAAACCGAATTATTAGAAGGCTGCAAAGTGCTTTGAAAACATTAAAACCAAAACTCAACTATTGCCCCCAAATTTCTTGCTATGAGTTCTGTTTTTGCACATCCCATCCTGAAGGGCAGACAATGCTACATTTATGACAGCACAATTTCTCAGATATATATATCTCACAGGTTTCCCTCACTTGCATTAAATCCTCCACAGTTTCTCTACATACCCTACTCTAGAAAAATTTAAAAAGTAAAAATAAAAAAATAGCATTTTTTCCTACCTGTACATTCAGCTTTATTTATAATGGCTTGAAAGAGAGAAAGACGTAATGGTACAATTGCACCAAACTATCCTACATCCATCTCAGCTGTTCTACTGACAGTATGAGTACCAAAAAAAAGTTACATGAACTTTCACAATTACACATCAATTTTTAGCATTATCACGCAATGACAAAAAAGTTATCAACTTTATACATACAGAAAAAATATTTTTTTAAGAACCACAAAGTTACTAAAAATATATATTATACCATACCTTTTTTTTTTTTTCCAGAGAGTTGATCTTAACAGGTTATAAAGAAAATTATTTCTTCAGCCACAAGTCTTTGTATTTTATTTTTATTTAAAATAAAAAGTCACACAAATGATAAAATATTTTGGTTTGGCCATTTGGCTCCCTCCGCCAAATTGACACTTTATAAAAACCTTCTGTACTTTTTTCCCCCTCCCTCTCTCCCTCTCTACTACCTCCAAGATGGTAGGAAAGTTGTTGTTTTGGAGGGCAGAGGAGCCGCTCTCTGATGTTATGTCCTCTCGGTGCCTGTAGTGGTGCTGTAGGAGGCTGCTGGCTCTCTTCTTGAGCAGCCCCAGCAGCCCTGCCTTCTTTGCTGGAGAATATATTCAGGGATTCCCCTTAATAATCACCTACCCTCTGAGCACTTTGTAGTTTTAAAATAATAAAGAGCCCCCAAAGCTTTCTCCCCACAAAAAGCAGGATCTTCTCAGAGACAGGGGGGCAGCAGCTCCTCAGCACAGAGCCCGAGCACATTCCCAGTCCCTCTGCTGGGGAGGAAACTCTGATCTGTCAGCCCAACAGAGGGAAAGGGGGGAGAGGAGAGAGAGGAGGGAAAAAAAAGCAGCTGGAAAGGTAAGCCAGGCCCGGCCTGCATCCCCGGGCTCGCGTAGCGCGGCAGGCGGTGCGGAGGGTGCAGGGCGGGCGGGGAGGTGGGCTACGCGAGGCCGGGGATCGGCCGGGGCGGCGTAGGCCGCGGCGGGGGGTGCGGGGAGCCAGGGGGCTTTTTGAGCCTTTCGGGCGCCGGGAGGAGTGCCGGAGGGGGGTGAGACGGCCGCCGGAGCCCAGCGGGAGGGTCGGGGTGCGGCGCCTTTGCCCGGGAGGTGAAGGGCGGCGGGGGTGAACGGGGCGGGGGGGCGCTAGGCCGCGGCGCGGCGCGGCCCGGCCGCTCCGCTCCCCGCCCCGCCGGGCCCCCCGCGCCGGGCCCCGGGCCCAGAGCGGGCCGAGCCCCGCCGCCGCCGGGGCCAGACGGTCGGGGGGAGGCGGCGGGGGCGCCGCGGCCGGGGCTGCTCCCCCCACCCCCCAACCCCCCGCGCGGGCCGAGGGGGCCGCGGGACGGGGGGCTGGGGGCGGCATTAATTTGCCGAAATGACTTTTAATGAGCGGCGGGGGGGGCGCACCCCCTCCCCCAGCCCGATGCGGGGCCGTGGCGGCGGAGGCGGTGCCGGTCCCGTGGGGCTGCGCCGGCCGCGGCCTGGAAAGTTTCGCGGCGTTTTTGGGGTGCCTTGCCCCCCCACCGCCGCCGCCCACCCTCCGCCCGCGGCTGCGGGGCCGGTGCCGGCAGGGCGGGGGCACCCCGGGATGCGGCTGCGGCCCCCCCGCCCGTCTTGTGCCCCCTTGCCTCCCCCCCCCCCCCCCGGTGACCCCCTCCGGCCGGGCCGGCGGTGGGCGGATTCGCAGCACAACTTTTTGGGAGGGAGTGGGGGTGCGGAGATGCCCTCGCAGTGCCCCCCCACACTCTACAAGCTGCCGGAACGTGTGGCCCCGGCCCGGCCCCCGGGGCCGGGGCGAGGGGCAGGGGGTGTCCCGGCCGCACCTTCGCGCCCCGACACGTGTGGGGCCGGCGGCCGCCCGAGCCCCGCCGGGGCTGGGCAGGGGTCCCTCAGGCACCCGCACTGTCCCGGGACCCGCTGGCGTTATCGGGACATGGGCAGCGGCGCAGTGGCCCCTCAGCCAGAGGAGGGAATCTCCTCAGCAGCCCTTGCGCAGCCAGGGCTGTGTCTGGCCGTGGGCCCCGGCCCCTCTCATGTCCCCACTGGGGCACCCCGGCTGTCCCTGTGCGCCGGGGACCCGCTGGGCTTGGGGGGGTGTGTCTCTGTGAGGTGCTGCTGCCCCCCAGGACTGCAAATGAAAGGATCCTTTTTTTCAGGGAAAAGAACGTCTGGTAGTTGTGAAGTGAGTGCACTGGGAGACCCACCACCGCGCTTCACCCCGCACAGGTGAAACAGCTCCGGTTTCTAAAGCGGGAGGTGGCGCGTTTTGGTCAAATGTTCCTTAATATGTCTTTTAGCTAATGGCTTTGTACAAGTAACCTCAAATGAATTTTAGAAATTGCAGTAACACTCACCTTAAGCCTTATACCATCTGAGTAAAATACATAGATCTATAGTTAGTTCTAACTTTGTTACTCAACAACATATGATGAAGGTTTATTTTAAGGCCCTTTTCAGTTTTTGAGGATTGGGAGACTTAAAAATGAAATCGACAAAATTAGGGCAGTGCGTAGGTGAGTGCCCTGTCCTATTGACACACCTGTACTGGCAGTGTTTCATGCTAAGACCATCCCCACCACTGCTGATTGTTGAACTGGAGCGCTTGTGTTTTGTATGAAGCTGTCACTTACAAGCTGGTGATGTTCAGCCTTTTACATGAATTGTTTGTAATATATATGAAGATCGGACAAGTTTTATAAATCGTAAAGCTAAATTATCTACAGAAGGCCACCCAAAATTTACTTACTGAGAGTTATTTTGATGTTCAGTATTTTTGTGATGAGTGGAATGAATTTGTACGTAGGGCCTGGTCCTACAGAACTGCATATACTTTGTTCTCACAATATGGTAAATCATCAGGAGGTACAAATTTATTGTAATACTACACTGAAATTCCAATAGCTTATAACTGCTGAAAGACTGCTCTACGAGGAGCTCTACTACTTTATTTATTGAGTATTCCTTCTGGAGCAAAAATAATATTTCTGTATTGTGTGAAAATAAGCTTGTTTGCCTTCATAGTATTGGGACTAAAAATAAGACTAAGGTATTTTGCCCTTATTCAAGGGCAGGTTATCTGTTATTTGAATGAATAAAAGACTTGGAATTTTTTTTTTGTTCAAGTACAGATGCAAAGGGTGGTATGTTTAATCTCTGCTTTCAGGATCATGGTTTTGATATTTTGAGATAACATTTTTAAAGTGCATTTCTCCCATGTTGCAATGGCCTAAATATTCCATTTCTTGCTGCATCTGAAGGCTGCCTCTCTGCCTGTTCACCCTAACCCTAACCTGGGCCTGTTTAAAACTGTGTTGAAATAAGTGTGCTTCTGTGCAAGCGTGAGCATCTGTCTGTGAGGATGTGATTGCAGGACTGGGGCCTGAGACCTTCTGCCCAAATAGAGAAGTCCTTGTTCAAAAGACTTTCAAGATATGGAGCCCGTCTTGAACCTTAGGTCAGGAATACCAATGTCTAGAAAATTTTTTGAAACTTATAGGAATGTGCTCTTGGCAATAGTTATGAATCTTCCTACCTAAGATCTTTTCTCTTTAGCAATCCTTCGAAGTTTCTAAAATTCCTGGGGTCTTAAATATTTGGTTTTAGGCTTTGGGATATCTTTGTCAAGTTTTCTATAAGATACTATTTATCATTAGTGAATCAGCTGAAATGAAAAGTTCATTTGTTGTAGGAAAACAAAAAGAAGAACCTGGTCAGTTTGGTAACAAAATGAGTTACTTTTCCACCTCTTAGTTATGTTTTCTGCTGTTGATTTGAACTAATTATAAGTCTCTTAAGTTCTCTAGTGGTTATTACTATTAGGAATAATACTTCAATTCTATATGTATTACATTATATTCTGGAACATAATCTGTATTACCAATGTTGCCTAAAATACTCTAGTGCTTTTCTCTTAATATATCTGCAGTATAAACTGCCTTTTTCCAGAGTTGAAATAATAAGCTTTCTAAAAGGCAGAATGAGGGCAATGTTGCTTCTATCTTCCTAGGTAGATCTTAACATATGAAAAAAGTAGTCCAAAATATGATTCCAGGTGGTAACTAAAAATATCTAGTAAGATCTTAACATGTTGAGTGCCTTGATCTGTCAGGTTACTTGCATATATGTTGCAGTACCTGCACTTCACAGGTCTTCTTGAGTAAGGATTGTACTCTAGTTAATAAAAGCATTCTGTACAGGAACTCTTGTAGTTGGCTTTAGTTGCTTCCCAGTGTTCTCTGTCTCAGTATGAATGCTTTTACTGACAAAAAGACTCTTGTTTCCAGAATTACAGAAGCCTTGGTTTGGTAGTTGAGTATCGTAGAGAATTGAGCTGTTAAAAGACTAGAACTAAGCCAAAGTTATGGTTAGATCACAGAAGGGGGACAGAAGTTACAACTTTGTAGTGTTGATGTTGATCACAATTAGATGTGATGCAGAACAAAGCACTTCAAAGAGAGGTATTAGTTGCTATGAAACAGAAAAAATTAATCTTTCTGCTTTCCTCTTAGAAATGTAATTTTTGCTAATACTGATTGGAAAAGTTTTGCTATAAGTCAGCTTTAAATGCATGTCTTTTTGTCACGAATTTTATGGTCTCTTTTCATCTCTGAGTGGATTCCATGTTGCCAAACATACACTCTGTGTATTTTCTTAGTCTCAGCAAAAGGGTCAGACAGTGGCAATGCAGGTAATTGTTCCTTCTTGCTCAAGTTTAGGAATTGACAAAACTACTATTTATGCTGTTTGTGTTTGTGGAAAAGCTGAGGTTCTTATAGATCCACGTTCCACTTCTGGCCCCAAGTTAATGGTTTTGGAAGCATATGGAGAGGATTGTACCTTGTCTATGAGATGCCATGAACACAGCAAGCAATTTAACATGAAATTTGTGCTAATATTAGCAAAAGCAAAACAACACAGTTAAGACCTCTGTGGTCGTGGCTTTTGTTTGGATGCAGTGTGTGAAGCTCTGAGCTCAGTCCTCTTAATTATACATCTTTTAACCACCAGCATATAATTGCCTTGCAATTTACAATGCATTTGGGGATTCCATTGCCTAAACGGGTCTTACATACATTGAATGTTAAGTTCTGAGCATATGTTTAAGAATGTATCAACCCACATGATTTAAAATATTCTAATATTTTCATCGCAGCATTTGCTTAAAATGACTGATTTGAGTTTTGAGGCTATAATGCTTTGGGCTTTCTCATAGTGACTAAGCCATTAACTTCAATGCAGACTACAGATGATGTCAGGTACCAGATTTCTGTATGACATAATACTGGTACTCAGGTATGGTATAGCAAAGATTGCCCCTAGAGTTTTCTGCTACACTGTTTTCTAGGCTCTCTGAAGAACTGTTTAAGTGTTTTGGAAAAGGGTAGTTAGAGTGCAGAGCTACAACTTTGTTGTCTTGGAGCTGATGTGCAGTGCAAGGTAGCTGATTATGCCTGCTTGCTGGTACTAAAAGCAGCTGGGAGCTGGCTTCTTCCAGTGTGTGATAGCAGGTATTGGCAGTTGCACAGGTGTGTACCTGTGTGTACTGAAGTCTTTCATTTCTCTTTTTACGGTCATTTTGCAAACCACCTTCTGTTGTCTTATGGACCACTAGTGGCTGCACTCAGCAGGACAAGTAGCTCTGCTCTAAGTGCTGGTGTCTCACAGTGTGGCCTTGCTCTGTGTCCTGCCTGTCCTTGCTGGGGTGCTAAGTTTGTTAGTATTCACATAGGGCTTTAGCCAGAGGGAGGAGATTTTCTTCCAGTCAGCTGCTCAAGAATAAAAAATGGGAGAAGGCGAGAAATTAATGCGTTATGAAATGACAAGTGTTAGTGGTAACCTCGTAAGAACATGAGAAATACTCTGCTGGATCAGATCGGGTTCAATCCAACCTAATGTTCTCTCTTGGACAGTAGGAATAAGTGATGCTATTTAGGAAGAGCATGAAAGCCCAGCCACTTTTTTATGTTTTCTTCTCTTACTCCTCTGCCATCCATATTTGTTAAATTGGTCATGCTAGCAGGTACATTGCTTATGTCCCCATTGTCTACGAACTTTCCTATTGTCTTTTTGCACCTGATATTACTATCTGCTTCCATAGCCCCCTGTGACAGCAAGTTCCAGCAGTTTAATATGTTTTGAGTCAATCTCTTAGTAACTTCATCAAGCATCTCTAGTTCTAATATTGTGTGATATGGTATATGACCATTCTGTATTCACCTTATTTCCTACCATGATTTTTTAAACCTCAGTCATGTATTACATCATTTGGCAAGGATGCACATTTTTGGATTCTCTTCTGTTCTTTGCCCTGTTGCTTCTAGCTCAAAATCTTTTATTTAGAAGCAGTTGGTTAAGGCATGTCTAGGTTCCTCAAGAAGCAACCTCTGGTTTCTCATTCATGGGTTGTGGCTAAAGCTAGTTTGAGCACATATGGGCATAACTTATGTTTCTGTTGAACCTTTCTGCGGCTTTGGTGTAGAGTATAAGTGCAAATCCGAAACAGCTCCCGGAAAGTTTTGTATCCTGATATTTTTACAGTGAGTACAGCTGCTTAAGCATTTGATTTTTCCAGGGGAAGTCCATGTTTCCGTCATCTCTTACTGAATCCTGTGGGACAAAAATAATTTCTCCCCCACCCACTATTTAACTAAGTGTAGTTTCAGTTCTCTTCAGTTAAGTGACATGTGCGTATTCCATGTTCGTGCTACTTTTTATGTAGCAGCAAAAAGCTCTGTTAAGAACTCCTGTATATTGTTAAAAATAAAACACTGCATCAGATTAAATCAGAATGAATAGATTTAAATGTCTTCATTATTTTTATATATGTGTGTTTATATATACATAAACACACACTTACATGATATGCTGTGGAAGTAAAAAGAAAAAGCTCTTTTTAGATTAAGTACAACTTCAGTCTCTGATCCTGGCAGTGTATCCGCATAGTGACATGTCTTTTGGGGAGTCTCTGTAGGGATCTACCAATAAAGATATAATTGGAAGTTTGGGAAAGTTGCTGTGGATTTTTTTTAATGTAACATTGGCTTCTAGATATATTAGCTTTCTTGTTCATTGCACTGTAGTTGCACTAGTTGATTCCTATCAGGATTTTTAACATGGTTATATTTGCATGAGCTTCTCTTAGTATATATATCGACCCAAAAATTCATGTTCATGGTCATTGGTTTCCCTGGGGATTATTCTCAGTATTTTTGCTTGAACATTTTATATGGCACTGTAGTTATGCCCTGTATCTTTCAGACAAGTAAGAAGTAAAATACCATGCCTGCCCTAACACAGTCAAGTTAAAGGCAAAAATAAGACATAATTATGAGTTAAATCCAAAATTAAGACTGCAGCCACAAGAATAAATCTAGGATTATAGTGGCTGGGAACTGTGGAGCACTTTCTTTACAGAAGCTTAACAGAGGCACACAAGGTATGCATTTCTTGCTGTTTACTTTGGAACCATCCTGAGGAACTCTTTTTCTTTGGTCTGTTGCTTGATAATCTTCAGAAAAGAAATATTGCTGGGTTGTGCGAAAGTGAGAAGGTCATTGATCTGTCAGAAACTCTGCAAAGCATGATAGTAGTAGCTTGAATGAAGGTTGTAAATAAACCAGAAAGAAACAGAGCAGCATGTGAATCACCCCAGCTGCAAGATACACTTGGTCTTTCAAGTTTTACATCTTGTCCGGTATGCCACCAAATACAAGCTTTGGTTAACTATTGAGAGAAGCAAACTCCAGAGCAAAAGGCTTTCTGTCAGCATTGTTGCATGTGTGAGATGCAATTAGTTAAGACTCATTTGGTTACTTTTGCTGCCATAGTAATGAAGAAGTCTGTCTCAATCATATGGGATCCAAACCTGGATCACACACAACTCCTGTATGGGTCATGTCCCCATAGCATTTATGTTTTTCATTCATGTCATTGCTGAATAATACTGAAGTGTATGTCAGTACCTGCCTGAGCACAGGTGTCTGAAAGGATTATTTGGTCCTTAGCATGCTAAAGAAGAGAGAGTTCCCTCTTCCCATTCTGTATTTTTGAAGGGCACAGTCAACAATGAGCTTTCTTGTTCTTGACTGATGTGTCGTGGAAAGACATACTCCAATGATCGGTTTCAAATATGTATAGTATGTGCTTCCATGCATTGAGAAAAGCTGGGAAAGGTGATTGGAACTGGACTAGGTGTCTGTGCTTGTGTTGTGGCTACCTGGTGTAAACAAAGCAGAAGGCCCCTGCCTCTGGGGTGCATGCTTGCATGTGTGCTTGGAAAGGGAAAATGTGTATCAAGAGGAAATACAAAGTTATCCTCATTATTGTCTGACATGATAAATCAGGTCACTTGTGGTAGTTAAATTTTGTAGCCCATGTCTCCATTCTTTATGCTGTATATGCTGCACGTGCGTGTATACAGGTCTTTCAAGAATTTTTTAGCATGTTTCTAAATCTTAAAGCGTCCTTCTGCTTCTACAGCTAGATATATGCTAATGAAAGGCCAGTTTTATGCAGTTTACTCTTAGATACTCTTTTGCCCTAGTGTCTTAAAGTTGCTTTTCTAGATCCTTCAGAGCCATTGTGCTTGTCATTTTCTCAAGGCACTTTTATACAGTAGAAGGTGAAGGCTTGTACCTTTACAAGAGGAAAGTGCATCTTTCCTACAAAGTCTGTGTAGGCTTCCTCCTTCCAATCGTGTTCTTGCCATTTTGGGCCTTGGGAATGAGTGAGTTCACTGACATGGTATTCTGTACATTTGTCACATGCCTCTAATTTATTATGTATTTCCTGAATATCCCCTCTATGAACATTCCTTTCCTTGGTGTATAACACATATGAAACTGAACGGAGTACTGAATACACCATGTTTAAAAGAGTTCGTTCCAGTGCTTCAGGATGGCCTTTCTGAATAAAAGCTGCTTTAAGCTTAGTGTAGCAGAGTAGCTGCAGAATATATATAATGTTAATTTTATTTGGAGCTACTTTGAGATGGTTTGGGTGTTTTGTTTGTTTGGGTTTTTTTTAAAAATATGATTGCTGAAGACCTCCATAGTGTTAGGAACTGAAAAAGTACCTTATGATTGCATGGATTTGCACCATAGGAGTGTATTTTAGGGGGGAAAACCCCCAGCCTCTTGTGGATGTTTCTTCCCTCCTGACATTGATGGGAGTACAGCCTCTGATTTTAATACCTGCTTTCCCTAAAATAAAGCGCAGTGAGGTAGGACAAGCACTAAAGAACCGTGATGACCTCAGGAAGGACTGCATATTGATGCTTGCAGAAACTGTAAGCAGATACAAGAACTAGAGACTGATCATCAAATATGATAAAGGAAGCTTTTTTTAAAAAGAAAACTTTGTTGCACTGACTGATTAAATAATTTTGCAGAGCAAAGACAGTCACTGGTGGTTTTGTAAGTATAGATACTTGAAGTAAAACCTCTGCAATCAAATGGGTTGATCATCTTTCAACTTGATTTCTGAAAGCAAGTGATCTAATCTGACATTTAACCTTTTTCAACTTGTAGCTTCTAATCACTTTCTGGTAGATGAGTGAAGTTTTGTTTAGGAGGTTTAAGTGTGGTGGCAGTAGGGTTTTCTTTTCCCCAGTAATTTCTCCCAGTTTTCCAAAGATCTGTAACTACTAATTGAAAACTGTTGGGCTAGTGGATTTGGCTTATTGGATGCTAGCTGAACTACAGGTTTGGTGACTACATCTGCCTGCTTACTTACTGAGCACTAGTAATACGCGTTTTACTCTGCCTGACATTGACCTTTTTGATATTTTCCTTAGACAATCTGCTTCATCTTGGTTCATCATCATTCCAGGATAGTGGTGTCCTTGGGGCTCTCTCTTGACATTGATATGGTACAGAAGATTTAAAATCAGGTATTGTTTTGGGTCCTTCTTTCCTGCCAAAATGGAGCATGCAGTCTAGAACTGAATGCATTTCTTCTTTCCTTATGTGATTTGTCTTAACGTTTTGGTTCTTTCAGCTGATGTTCACAAGGAATAGAGTCACGTGATGTATGAAGGCAAACACATACACTTCTCTGAGGTTGACAATAAGCCCTTGTGCTCATATAGCCCCAAACTGTGCAAGCAGAGGCGACTTAACGGCTACGCCTTCTGTATCAGACACGTTCTGGAGGACAAGACTGCCCCCTTCAAGCAATGTGAATATGTGGCCAAGTATAACAGCCAACGCTGCACCAACCCTATCCCCAAATCTGAGGACCGTAGGTGAGTTGTGGTTATCTCTCTGCAAAGTGGGAAGTGGCTGGGATGTTGGCACGAGTTTTCTTTTAAGTTGCTGCTGGCTTCAGGATGAGGGTGGAACTGGCTTGAGCGAATTGTATTCCAGGATGTTCCTTTGAGGATTTTGTTTTAAGACCAGTAAACTTTATTTTATTTTCTGTGGGAGTCAAGTAACTTGGAAGGGGGCAGTAACTTAGTCCCAAGGAAGTTTAAGAGAGTTCGTTGCTTTTCACAAATTCACCATAAACTGTGGATCAAACCACAATATCAGCTGTTCTGACTAATTTGCTTTGTCAGTCACAGTACCTGCTCTTAAAAAGGCCTGCTTGTTTAGCCAGGAGTGCCAAAAGCACGCTTCCATCTGCTTTTGCAGGACAAATAGTTGAAAATGCATATCTTCTGGGCACAGGGAACAGTGACACATAGAGACAAATCCAGAATTACAATTCAGTGTTTGTGATTTGGTACCAATCTGTAGTGTTGTATTACTGGAATAAAATAAATATTACTTGATAACAGATGAACCAGCTGGGAAAGTGCTGTCCACTCCCTTTCTTCTTTGCTTCCCTCCTTTCTCTCACCCTCCTTGCCCAAATGAAGATGCCCAAGGTGTCCAGGTATTAAATGCCTTGCAAGAGATAGTGCTTGAAGTTGTTGAGAGCTGGAATTCAAACTAGATTTCCTGAATTGCAGCCCATACTGTAGCCACAAGGGCATTCTTCCTTGCTCTTTAAGGCTTCCTGAACACTAGTCTCATTGGTGCTGCTGGGGCTGAAATAGCAGAATTTGTCTGATCTTGTCTGACAGCTATATATGACTTTATTTCTTTGGAGTTGTCATTGCAGGGTTTGCCAGTAATACAGTATTTAATTAACGTCTATGTTAACTATGTGAGGCTTGTTCAACTAGAAATGCTTTTTAAACCTAAAATATAAACAAAATATGCCAAAAAAAGTCAAACCACTATTCACTGACCTTTCACATTATTAGCTGCCATTCACTAACCTTTTGCATTATTAGCAGTGTTCCCACTGTGCCCTACATGTAACTTCCTTCTCAGCTCACAGCTCCCTCTCTTGTCTGAAACAACAGTTGGACTGTGCTCTAAATTAACTTGCACTTCACCTGCCATTTCAGTTGAGGAGACTGATGAAGTGAGAAAAAAAACATGAATGTTTGTCAAAAGCTGTAGGGCAAATGCTCAAATGGCACAAGATGAATAACTTTAAGCTGTAATTTGACAGTCGGTGAGTGTTTCTTTGCTACTGTACAATTGAGGCTCTTTGGAAATAAGCTCGCAGGAATGATCATGGAAATGGTTAGCACAAATGGTATGCTGTAATTTCAGATGCAAGAGCTGACTGAGACAGAGTTGCTGTTTACCAGGGGTCATACTTGAAAACAATAGAAGTAATAGTACTTAATGACACTTCTTTATGTCTCATATGTTCCCATGGAATTTGCGATTTTTCTTTACACCTTGAATTGAGTTCACACTTTGTTCTTTTTGATTTTTCTCAAGTTAAAGTGAAGTGTGGTCATGACATCTGGTGTATGTTATATTAGAATAATTCAATTGCATGTCGAGTGTCACATTACAGTACTTGAAGAGGACAGCAGGTGTCTGAAGGAGAAAATAAACTTTTAATTTCAAATGAGAGGATGTGATAGTTTGAAAGAATATTTTAAAAGACTGCTTCTCAGGGCAGAGTTTAGTTTTAACAATAAAATTTAATGAATGCTAGCGATAAGACTGTGGCTCCTCTGAACTTTTTTTTTTGGCAGGCAAACCTGTATCTGTTTCTTAGGAGACTTTCTTCACACTCCGTTCAATATAAAGATGTTTGCTGTGTCTGAGTTCTTCACTCATAGCTTTTAATTTTTTGTATACAAAAATACTGTCAGATGGTCATTTTGTCACAGTTTTACACATGTAGCTGTACATGATCAGAAGCAGGCTGTATGATGCTCTGACAGCTATCTTCTTTTTATACTTTTAAAGATTATAAAAAAGAAGTCAAGAAGATGCATGCATTATATGCCAAAAGCTTCATAGTCTGTCCACAGATAATTAAAAAGAATTATCACTTGACCCTGACAAATGAGATGCTACCAACCACAAAGATGTTTAATATTGTGCCATATTATTAGATTTCTTATTAACCGTTAACGTTAATAGATCTACAAATTAGATCTATTAATAGTGTGACTTCAATGCCTTATTTGAAGTCTAGTTTCTCTATTCGCTGTCTTGTTTTTTTTTAAAGAACATATAAATGAGAAGATACAGACAGATTTTGTATTTGTATTTTCTCTGAATACATCTCCTAATTCTTTCTTAGCCAAATACAGACATACATAATGAAGTTCAACTTAATTTTTAAATATAGGGTTATTACAATTTAGTTGGGTTAAACACCATTTTAAATCTCCTCTTTCAAGACAATCTTTAAATATTTTGTTAATATGCAAGCTGTTCCCCAGTTTATTGGATCTTAAGTAAGTGATGGAAATCAATACCAGTCTGGGATGTACTGAGAAGCAGAATGCAACTGTAGGTAGAAAAACTCACTGTCTGAATTCTTGTCCTCCTGGTGGATGAGGGAAACTGTCCAGCTGAAGCCTTCAGAACCCATCACATTTTGTGTGCTTCACGTTTTGATAATTTTAATGGATATCAACCCACTGCTCTTACCATATGTGTGGACTTCACTTGATCTTACTTGCACACAAAAAATGCTTTTGGCACTGAGTAGGGAAGGGGACAAAAAATTTTATTAGATACTCAGTGTGATACTGTCAGCTGAGAATAACTCACAGACAGGTTACAGAGGTGACAAACTCAGCCACTAAGACAGGCATATCAGAATTGGCTCTTATAGGCCCAGCTTGACTCTAATGGGTTTCATGCTCAGAGCTATGTGAAAAGCATTGTGCTACTTGCAGGTGCTGTGCTAGTCTTCCCAGTAATCTGACTTCCATGGAACATGAACTATTAATGCAGACTCTGCAGTACTGGATAAAGTCAGAGCCAGTTGGGTCCAGGGCCAACTAAAAAGCCATCCTGGAAACTGAAGGATGGGGAACTGGGTGTGCTTGCTCCCCTGGCTCTGTGTGGGACCAGCTAGAGCCTGACAAGGTCAAGGTTGAGTCGGTGCTAATCTCCTATGGCTAGCCTAGCCAAAACTGCTTGTGTGTAGTCTTCTTTACCCAGAGGAGATTGAAGTGCTCTTCCTGGCTTCTTCCTGCTCCTGTTAGTCCAAGATGCTTCCAGTTATGCTGGAAGACAGAGAGTTGGTAGAGCCTTAAAGCACAGAGCCAAGTCATTGTATACTGGAGTCTGCAAGAGCATGTGATCTGTATGTTGTAGCCTGACATCTATGGGTTTGTGTCCAGTTGGCTCTCAGTGGTGCAGTATGGTCAGTTTAAGAGCCAAAGCTTTATTCTCTACCATATAAAAATTATTGTATTAGAGTTAAATGAACAAGCCAAAGCCTGAATAGCCTAAAACTCAGAGAATGTTAGCAAGCTTATTACCTTTTCATAGCTTTATTCACCTTTTCTATTTTTTTCTTGTTTGTACAATGAAAACAGACTATCCAGTTTTACCTCCTCACATCAGCAAAAGCACAAGATGACAATATTTAAGTTCTGAACAATATAAGGGAAGCATTCACATTGAGCAAAACACTTTTATTGGCATAAGGGGGAAAAGAATTCCCTGGTGTTTGTTTTGTCTATTGTTTTTTTCTCCTGTCATACTAAAAGTGCTGTTGTAACTGATACCAGTCTTGTTCAAACAAAATATTTTAAAAGTGCATAATTTTAAACATGGAAACAGTGCTTGTTGACTTTAAGGGAAGCTTTATTGAGCCCTCATTATATAATTTTATTTTTAGAAATGTGTCTCTCAGTATGAATTTACAGTATTCTAGTGTGTTCTAATAAGGACTCCACAAATTGCTGGCTTTCAGTTTGCCTCATCTAGCTTTATTTATTACTTACAACATAATATAATCAAGAAATTATTTAGACAGTAATAAGTAGCAGTACTTTTCAGACTTTTCTGATTTGTGAATCCTTATGACTGTGGAACCCTCAAGAGGCTGTATATATGGAGATCATTAAAGAGCATATATGAATTTGATTTCTCTTTTTTACCTTTTAAGGACTCTTTAGAAGCTTCTCACACATTGCTTCTTTAGAGATGGGCCAACAGTTTGAAAGTCACTAAGCTGAAGTATTAAACCTTTTGTGATGTTTGGTTTGGGCTTTTTTTTTTTCTCCATAAAGACCAGGAATAAATTAATTTTAACCTATTTGTTCCACAAAACTTACTTTTCTCAGGTTTATGTTGATCAGATTTTAAAGAATACCTTCATGGCTATTTCCTTATTCATAAATACTTGGATGTAGACATCACTTTTTCCTTATATCTTTGTTTTCATCTATAAGCTGCAGGTTATAGATGGGATTCTGCAAGGGCAGAATTCTGATGGCTGGTAGCATTCTACAGAGGCAGGAGTGCCTGTCTGTGGGAAACAGGAAAAGAATCAGATCATGATTCCTACATTTCTATCACCTGCTTGTTTTAATCAGATAAAGGTTAATTTTTTACTTTTTATTGTGTTACCTGGACATAAATTGTGATTTTTTTTAAAAAAACTTCCATGACAAATTCTCAAAAACTTTTTTTAATAACATGGCTTCAAAAGTCTTTCATATTAGAACTTAAAATCTATGTTTGTGGATTGTATGTATACATATTCTTGGCATTGTGTAAATATTTTCTAGCAGGAGAGAATTTGTATTTATAACTAGATTTTTATTTGCAAATAATGACCCTTTGCAGCAGATATCTAGTGAGATTGTCCTTATAAGAAACTGCTCTCCCTACTACAGTGGAATTCATAATAATAATGTGTGCATTAATGAAAATGTTAACTATTTCCACTGAACAAACAGGCAAATGAAAGGAAGTAGTCTTCAATGTAATATTTCTTGGGAGCTTTTGAAATGATCGGTTAATGGCTTAAGTTCTTAATGTTTTATGTATCAGACAGTCCATTTGTTTTGTTCCCTTTGTTTTGTGAGTATTCACCCTATTAGAGAGTTAAGATTTTGAATGATTGTGTGTGAGTCTCCTATGACTAATGAATGAAGACTTTTATATCTTAAGATTAGAGATTGTCCCCTGTATAACCTTTTGTTTTCTGTTACATGTTGGGAGCACCACAGTTACCTGTTTTATTATAAGCAGTTGTGTACACTTCTTATAAAACCTCTTGTGTTTCGATTTATATTTGCTTGAGATGTGTGTTTGGGTTTCCTTTAAGTGATGTCTTTTCTTCATATTTTACTTACAGGAGTTTAGTTAATAATCGACTGCTTTTATTTTTCAAAGGTACTGCAACAGCCACCTGCAGGTACTTGGCTTCATACCGAAAAAGGAGAGGAAGAAAAAGAATGATCCCATAGAGGAGGTGAAGGTCAGGCATCAGATGGATGCTATGGCCTTCAGTCTGACAGTGCCCACCCTGGCCTTGAAGATGCCCAATGGACTGGATGGGATGTCCCTCTCCCCTCCAGGGGCAAGGCTTCCTCTCCACTACCTGGAGGCAGAATTAGAAGACCCCTTTGCTTTCAATGAGGAGGATGATGACCTAAAGAAAGGGGCAACAGTGAGGAAAAAGTTGCAGAGCAAGTTGGCTCAAAACCGGCAGCGCCAGAGAGAGACAGAGATTTTAAAAGTTCGCCAAGAGCACTTTAGCCCCATTCCTGCACCTTTGCAGCAGCAGCCTCTGCAGCAGCAGCACTCCCATCTGCCACCTTCATCAGCTTCGTTAAAGCCGACAGGGCTACCGCAGGGCATCGTCTGCAAGTCACCTCAACCTCTGAACACCAGCCTACCAATGCAGGGAGTGGCACCCACCACACACACTATAGCACAAGCCCGGCAGTTGTCTAACAAGAGACCTCTGCCTCTCCTGCCACCCGCCAGGGCTCCTGTCACGGACCCACCAAGGACTGATCGGGTCCTCATGAAAGCCACAGCCTTCTCTCCGCACTCGTCCTGCATGAGCCGGCTACAGAGACTGGTGAAACTGTGCACTCGAAAACAGCAGCTGGACACTGATCTGTTTCCTCATTTAGGTGAGCAGATAACAGAGGCACCGCAGCCTTATTTTTTAACCTAAAACCAAAAAAGGGGAAGGTCTTCTAGCCCTGTCCTGCGTTCGTGTGCGGTCCTCACAAAATAACCTTGAGCTAGGTAATCTTGGTGTTTTCTTTAGCTCTGTTCTCTATGAAGGGAATGCCTGCATCCACCATATATGGTTTATGGCATTTTGGTTGGTTTTTATTCTTAATGTTCTGTTAGCCATTTGAGAAATGAAACTGAGGTGTAGAAAACATTGCTTGGATGATAGAGACATCATATAGAAGGTTTGAAACTCAAGTAGTAAAGGTGACACTAGCTGTACCTACATGAGTGGACAAAGTTAGATTAAATATTAGATGTGTGACATGTGCACATTACAAAATGAATGCAAGTAGAAGTTTGGAGATTTGGCCTGTCGTTCTCTGCAATCCAAATTTCCAGCTGACTTGACTGGAAAATTATAGCAAAAGAGAGTTTTTCTTGACTGGGCCTATTAGTTTATAGAAAGTGGATGAACAAAAAAAAGACCACTGCAGGAGAGCATCACTGTTGCAGAAGGTAATTGGAGGGTGGAGTCTTGTCCACATATCAGTGCAGGAATAGTCTTACCCTTACTTATTATCTAGAAACCATAATTCAATAGCTGCTTGTGAAAGTGTAAGCAAATACAACCAACTTGCTGGTATGGTAGTAGTGCTCTATGAGGCTTTGAAAAGGCAATTGACCTTGTGGTTTATTTGTCTGATGGTGAATACAGATCTAGGCACACTGATCTGCCCTTTTTGTCTTCCTCACCCACCAAAGTTACTTTTTGGCTTAGTTTTAGATTGTACTTTTCTAACAAGTAAAATACTAAAAGGGAAATGGAAATGTGAGTCAGTGTGTGATATTAGAGCAGGAACACTATTTATGATTTTTTTTAAAAAAAGACTTCAAATAAATCTAGACATTCTTCATATAGTGTCTTATTTAATTGGAAACATCTGTAATTTTTGCTGTTTCAATTAACCTTTCCTTAATTTGCTGTTAAGATCTGCCCTTTGGCACTCACGGGATAGCTTGACTATTTGTTCAGAAGATAATTAGCATACCTATAGCATGTCTCCAAAGGATGTTGTTCTTCAGAAAACAGCTTTGATGGTCCTATATATAATGCAGGTCTTTAGAGGAATGGCAACTCCAGAGGCTTTTCTGAGTGTTACAGACCCCAATAGCTTCGAAAGTGACCTGTGTTTGAAAGACTGTAGAAAGATCTTTTCTGTATTTAATGTTTTACATTCTCAAGTGGTGAAGAGAATACATTTTACTAAAAAAGAGGCATAGTAAAAAAACCAGTTAGACCTATACATGTACAGTTATGCAGATGCATAACTGTATGTGTATGCATTTAGAACAGTTTATATTTGGCAAAGTAAAAGAATTCACATATAAGTTACATGAGAGTAGAAAAGATATTTGTTTTTTATTCATTATATGTCTTAATATTAAAGACTAGTTATACCAGTTCAGGGAACTTCAGGATTTCTTTTTTATGATAGAGTAGCAGTAGAGATGACTGCACAGAATCTTTAAAAGATTAAGCCAGTTTTATGTGTACCTACATCAGAGCTGTGTAATTGGATATTAATGTAACTGCAGTCTTCAGTGTCAGTATAGTGAATCTGGATTAGATTTTATTCCTTCATTTCTGCAGTGCCCATTAGAAGCAAAACAACACAACTTCTGATTTTGTTTTTAAACTTTGGGTAAACAATTTATTACATGGTTGTCAGTTGTGGACATCTTTATCAAATGATGATTAAGTTGTTTTTTCATTCCTTTATGAAAGGGGCATGAGGAAAAAGAACCACTTACCTTGAAAGTATAATTCTGACATCTCATTAAATTTCTTAATATATCTTAATTTTGTTCAAATGCATGTCTTAAAAAATAAAAGGACACTGAAGTTCCTGAAAAATTTGGTTTCTGATGTTTGTGGTTCATGTTAAAGTGTTGCTTCTATATGATGAAGATGCTCCTAACGATTGCATTCCAAGCACAGGTGTGCATGTCTCTAACTGTGAAAGCAGGTGACCAAGTACTGATGCGTTTCCCAAATTCAAAGCATTTCAGAATCATCTCAGATATAGTTGTTTAGTTTATTTTTAACAAAAATAAAATGCTCCCTAACTCTTATCCCAACTGCTGCTCCATTTTCAAGGAGCAGAGAAGAAAGCGAAAAAGAAAAAATGCTGACTTGCAAATGCAGCAGTGGAATTTTATCCCACCTTCTGCAAGAAAGTGGCAAGAATTTCACTGGGTGTGGGAGAGAGGGTAGGAAAAGCTGTGAAAGATGAAGTTCTAGACAGAATGTTTCACCTGAGAACTTACTGGCCTCTTTCTGGTTGTCATGCTCAACAGTTGTGTGTGGATTGACTAACTGAAGCTGCTGGTGCACACAATATTGCATCATCATTAAATGAAAACGTGCTGCTTGGTAAAAGTGCAGGAGTGTTTTGTCTCTCCCTTTAGCTCTCTCTTCGTGCATTTGGCCAGCAGTGACAGGAACTGAGCAGAGGAACACACCATGTAGCTGTGTATCTATCTCTGTCCGTGATGCTGTGTCTTGTGATTTTTATATTCTTCTCTGTGTTAGGGCACAGTGAAGGGGTCAGAATATAAACAGAAATGAAATTGGCCTATTTAGATCATACAGTATTAAAATTTACCAGGTAGTCAATTCTTTGTGACAGGGACTTCTCCCTTACCTTGTCTCTAAAGTTCCCATGTGCTTGGTTATGAAAACTGTAATATTTTTCTGTGGGTAAGAAAGCTGGTGATTTTTCTTCCACTGTTTATGGATAAAGAAACCAGTAAGGATTTAAAAAAAAACAACCCTTGCTTATGACAAAAATCAGTGCATGCTATTTTCACGTTGCAATGGAACCGCTACTGTAACTTTTCCTGTGTAAATGAGAATATTATATAATTTAATCAAACATAATTATGCTTGTAACTATACTACACATTCACCTCTTTGCCACAGGTTGCCCAGAGGCTTATATAAGGTGGATACTCTTTTCATCCAGCTTTCATGTTTTCAATTCCCTTAGGGCTGGATTGGTCTGAAGACAGTGGAGAAGAGTTTGAGGATTCAGAGCAAACCTCCCCTTACCAGGTTGCATGGTCTATCCGAGAAAGCCTTGGCTATGAGAGACCTGAGTGAGTATCATTCTTTAGTATTCATGCTGGCCTTGATGGAATAAATCATGTAAATGTGAGTTTCACTTCAAGTGGAGTCAGTGGAACCTAAGCACTTGTTCAAGTGCTTTGCTGAAACAAAGGATTGTTTGAACTCATTTGTCTGTAAGAGCTATGAAACAGCTTGTTGCCTTCTGTCCCAGTTTTCAGCTAACTTAGAGACCTTTGTGCAGTCTGCTATCAGAAGGATGCATCAGGAAAGGATTTAAGCTTGTTTGTCTAAATTTAATTGAGTTTAGTGGGATTTATTAATTAACTCGTGTGCCTTGCTGAGTGGAGGTCCTGAATTATAACCAAATGGAGTTGGTATGGTTTCTTGTCTTTCCTACTGTTTGTGAATAACTTTGTTAGTAAACTTGCTACATTTCACTCATTAATCCTTATAGTATTTGTGCAGGCTGTTGTTTTAATGTGTTTTTTTAAAGGCCATGGTATTTCTTTTCTTAATTAAGTGTTGAATAACCCTCTGTCAATACTTGTGAGCACTGAAAGGAAGTGATGTGATCAAAGGGATAAGCAGAGCAGGTATTAGCTGCTGGTGCAGAAGGGCTTATGATGTTCTCTATGTACTGCTAAGCCATGAATCTGAACTTACAGCAGGATATGATAATATATGTCTATTAATGTAAATTTTAAAGTGCAAAGTTAAAACAAAGCATCCTGAGCATAGTATTGTAACAAAGAGTGTTTTTAACAAAGAAATTGGAGTCTCAATAGAATTTGATTATAATTTCTATAACGTGATTCTCATTTACTATGCAACTGGCCTTTTGGTATTACAACTTTCCCCCATTCGTTTAATTTTTAAATATAACACTTAGAATAATCGTGTTAATGAAACTTTATTTTGTTATTACATGGAAATTCTGAAACTTACTAAAACTTCTTGCCTTCTCTAAAGATCGTCCTCAAAGTGAACAATAAAGCTGTGTCTGTCATCAGGACACACCCCAGGATGCTAAATACTAAGAGTCTTCAGTGAATCAAAGCTAATAAACAGTGTGTAGGCTTTTCTTTTATAAAATAAAGGTTGGGGTTTTTTTGTTATGAATGGCCATCGTTTTTTAGGGCATCAGCAGTCAGAGAATGAGCTTTCACGAACAGTTTTAGCTTAAAAGACAGCTTTTAAATAAACTCTTTTGGGAAAACATGAACAGACTTCAGAATTTTAAATCATACATATTTTTTCACAGCAGATATTTCTATTAAATAACTTCCCTTACACTATTCTCTCTCTGACATTTGATTTTATTCTTCCATATATCCCTATTTTTTTGTCAACTTATAAAGGTCATCTCTGTGTGTTTTGTCTTCTATTTGTCTTAACTTCCTTTGGATTCTTCCTACTCTTTTCACATACTGAGAGAAAAATAGTACCTTGTCTTGACATTTTCTGTTCCGTTCTAGCATTTTGTGCACCTCAGTTAAATGCTGTCTTAACTAATCATGATGGGTAAAATTTTGTATGCTACTGACTGCTTTTGTACTTCCATCAGCCTGCCCAGTGTTAACCATTCAACAACCTTACTAATTTTGATTATGGATAAACATTCGCTTGATGTAAGCCTTCTAAAACTTTAATTCCTACTCTGCAAGCTTCTGTAGAGGTTTTTATTACCTGAAATGTTTTACTTTGACACTTCTGCAATGTGATCTGTCTGCTGCTGAAGGTGATGAATTAGTTCAAACTATGTCTGGGGAGATTTGATTTGTCAAAATAACTCTGTCTTGCTAATCTGGCAGTGCAGACTCGTGGCTCCTAACTTAGTCAGCCAGGGACTTGTTACAGCTCTGAATTTTGGAGACTTATTTTACCAGAAAACCAATGGAGATTGTTTCTTAAAATTTTTACTTTCTGAAATCACATCTTTTATGTTATGGGATTTAATTGCTGGCTTTTACAGTAAAATGAAGGCTATTTTTTCTCTGTTCATTTGTGTCTGAGCTTGTGGTCCCACCAGCTAACTTCATTCTGTCCTTTTCCATTCAACTTCCTGGAAGACAGTGGAAGGGATGCTTCTCAGAATAGACTATTGAAAGAAAGTGAACAGTTAATTTCTGCTTTCCTGGACAGCTGGTTCTCAGCATTTCTGCTTATGTGATTGTGGGGGGAATTCTCTAACTTTCAGTTGAACTTCTTGTGTGACACTCCAGCTGCTCTTAAACTCTCAGAAATTCACCAGATTCCTTTAAAGTTAATGTATTAACAGTGTCTGATGTTAGCTGGGATAGTGCTTGATTTGTCTTACTAGTTGATATAGTGCTGTGTTTTGGGTTTAGGATGAGAATAATGTTGATAACACCCTGATGGATTGATTGTTGCTAAGTAGTGCTTACCCTAAGTCAAGGACACTTTGGTTTGCCATGATCTGCCAGAGAGGAGGTACACCAGAGGGAGTGCAGAGGTGCAGAGAGGGAGCACAGCTGGTACAGCTGACCTGAACTGCCCAGAGGGATACTCCATACATCGTGATCAGTATATAAACTGGGGGGAGTTGTTGGGGAGGAACTGAGCACTACTCGAGGGTGGGCTGAGCATCGTTCAGTGGGTGATGAGCAGTAGTATAGGACATCACTTGTTTTTCTTGGCTTTTCTTTTTTTTTCCCCCCCATTACAGTAAATAGTAGCAGTATATTTTACTTTATTTCCATTATTAAACTGTTCTTAGTTCAACCCACAAGCTGTTTTTTTTCTGATTCCCCTCCCCATCCCACTGGTGGGAGCAGGGAGAGTGAGGGCGCAGCTGCCTGGTACTTAGCTGCTGGATGGGGTTAAACCACGACAACACTAATATATTTTTTTGGTTCACTTGCCTTCTGGCCTTTTAATCTGTAAAATTCATATTGTTGCAATCACCTGTGGAAATGCAGGCCAAATGTTTGCTTTTATTATTCTGTGCTTTAATTTTGAAAAACCGTGTTCCTGTGCTCCCAGGATTCTGGGATGCAGTGCTTTGAGGCAGGCACAAATGTTTGAGTTCAAATAGTAGCACAGGAGTTGGTAGTGGGCACAGTGCAGGCCGGGTGGCTGGCAGAGAAGGCTGCTGAGGTGGGAGGAATCCCTTATGGGAGCAGCAGTTTGGAGAGAAAGCATGGGCTGTTCCCTGCTGCAGATTAGTGAAGCTTTCCCCTAGATTATTTGATTTCTGGGTTTGGTAGCTTGGAAGGTACTGGAAAACAAGTGACTTTATAACAAAGTGGTTTTTCACTTTGTACACTGAAATGTAGATAAAGCAAGCGTTTCAAGTAGCAAGTTTGAAAAAGGAGTGTGAGTCCCTCCTCATACTACCCCACTCAAAGGAGCAAATATCAACACTGTATTGTGAAAGTTGGATTTAATAACTCACATTAACTAGAATAACTAAAAGAAAGAAGGGAAGGCTCTTCAAAACTTCTCTGTAAGGAGGGATTTGAAGTATAGTTGTTTGGGTATCTCAGAATAGAGAGAATGTTCTCCTTGTTCCCTGGTGGTGCCTGACTGCTCGTGCTAGCCTTTTGCTCTTCCTTTCTGCTGCTTTGTGCTGTCTTTGTTTTCTTCATGAACACTCAGCAATAATTCCCCTGATGTTCACACATGACAATCTGAAAGGGAAGAACCATTTTGGACTATCAAATGGCTTGCGTGCACTTTCAGAAATCTTTTTAAAAATTAAATGCCATGCATTAAGTTGAACTTCAGAAGCTCTATATGCAGTTTAAGACAATAAACTAAATAGAAGTTGGTAATCTTGTTTATGAAAGGACAATAATAAAAGCACCTTTCGTTTTCAGTACTTGACTACTGAAAAAATAAAAATAGGTTTTATTTTGGTATTTTTAGGTTTCTCTGAACATATAAACATTTTGGTTAATCTTACTGGCCTGGAAACAAAATTCTGAAGAGGTTTTTAGAAACTATTTGGCTCAAAATAAGCCCTTGCCCACTGCAGGCATGATTTCTTTCTACTTCTTCCTCTACTTTTAAAAAAGGATCTCATAAACTGCATTTCAAAAATATTTCAGTGTACAGTAACCTTTTTTCTGACTCTTTCAATGTGAAGGAAGTAAAAAGTCTTAAATATAGAGAAATTTACATTAAAAAATGCTGTTTCCACTTTTTTTCCCCCAAAGAAAAAGTATTTTCTAATTTTTAACCATATTTAAAATTAAATCAGTATATCTGCAACTTTGTTTAAAAGTCTTGGCCCAGAGCAGTAATGAAATATCTACAGATGTTAAACCTATCTATAAATATATATGCCATCCATTTATTCCCATTTTTTATTAATACATTGGAAGAAGGAAAATCTATATTAAATAGCCCACAATTAATTTTTTCTAAACAGGTAGTTTTTCCCAGTAAACATTCTTTTCTAAGAGATCTTAAAAGTGTATTTTCTTTTAATTTTCAGTGTAAAAATATTTTAAACATTACATATGTTAAATATTTTTAACAGGTTGTATTTGCTGCAAAGCATGTAATTGCATAGGTTAATTACTTGTAATTTATGCTTCTAGAAAATAATAATAATCTGATTTAACAAACAAAATACATGGAATGGTTGACTTTACATAAAACTTCTTAAAAACGTGCATTTGTGTCAAGGCAGCGTTTGCTGCTGCAGAGTTTTTGTGGACAGCCCTAGTGGAGATGGCTGCAGTCTCTTAAATTTGGCCTGCATATAAATAGAGTCAGAGTTTCCAGAAAGGAAAGTAGGTCCTCGTCATATGGCTTTTCAGGGACAGGTCTTCTGTCTGCATTTCTGGATCTTACTGTATTTAGTAAATATCATGGCTGGTATTTCAGATCTCTTCTATTTCAGCTAGTTCTGGTCTGCTTTGCTGTGTGCAGGTTTGGGGGTCAACTCATTCAGTCTTGCCAAGCTCTGCAGTCTGAACCTCGTGAGCTTTTGATTTGCTTCATTTGCTTGGATTTCTCTACTTTCCCCTGCCCGCCCTTTGTGTTACAGATAGGAAAGTTAGGATAAAGTCTCTCTGTTCTATAGGAAAAACTTAAAGTTAAAACTGAACAAAGCCTACTTTTCTTAGATTCAACACGTGCACTTTGTTGCTTCGTGAACAAAAAACTCATTCTGCAAACTAGAGCTTATTGTGGAGGACTTGTGAGTAACTTCATGGACCTTGTTGTTTTAGCAAATTCCAGTGATGATTTTCTGTTTCATGACTTTTACTTCATTTAACTGAATGTGTTGACATGTGCCTAGGTGTTCAGAAAGCCAAGATAAATGGGAAAAGGCTTTTTAAAGCAAACAAAGAATTGGATTTGTCCTTCATCTGGTGATTGCTTAGCCCTGGTCTGATTTTTCCATCACTACCTTTGGAGTTAAATGTGAATTTCTTCTTTACTACTTACAGTAACTCAACTTTAACTCTGCAGCAAGGAGAAATCAGTATCAGCTGTTAGCTGTGTTAGTTTGTAATTTGGTTTAGAAAGCAATACACCACCTGGCAGAGTAAAAGGAATTGGAAAAAGTCAGCGGTTTTGGTACTTGTTAGAATTCTACCATCTTTTCCAGCATGACCTTTCCTCAATAAATTTCCGCTACACAGTTCTCCACCCTTGTCCTCTCCATTAATTGCACTTTGATTTAAGCATTTGTCTCATTTGCCAAGACATTTACAGTAAATAAAGGTTAACAGTATAGATTTTTTTGAACAGCAGGCTCTAGACATTTAAATACGTCAGACTTGATGATAAATTGATGTAATCTCTAATAATGACATACTAAGAAGGGCAAGTACCTTTAGAATTTAAAAGGGATCCTGCTCTTACTATTTCTCAAGCATCCCTGCCTGATTTCAGTCTTTGGATATTTGTGTGGCTAGAAGATGGATGCCAACTTAACAATTCTATTAAAGTGACAAAATAGCTTCCGTGGAAAAAAAGAAGTAACTTAAAGCCCATTTGTTTTTATTTTCCCTCCTTCAGGTCCGATGATGACAATGCAGATGACAGGAGTTCCAGGGTGACCAGACTTTGCACTTACTTTCAGCAGAAATACAAGCACCTCTGCCGCCTGGAGCGGGCAGAATCCCGTCAGAAGAAATGCCGGCATACGCTCCGGAAAGCCTTGCTGCAGGCGGCCAGCAGAGAGCCGGAGCGTGCTGGGCAGCTCATACAAGAACTACGAAGAGCTACATGTGCTTGTACCAGGTTAGACCTTCCCTTGTGACTGCAGTAACCTGGGGCTGGGACAGGGTGGAGCTGGGCTGAGCATCCAGCAGCTGAAATGCTGAACTCTGAAACAGGTAGTAATGCACAAGGCGGAAAACCACGACACGTGAATGCCTGTCAGTGGAGTAAAATAAACATGGCATACAGAGTCTTCCATGGAGACAGGCCTTCTCCAGCTTTATGTTTTAAAATATGGATTATTTGTCCAGCAGTATCTGGGCCCAATTTCTGAAATGTCACAAAAGAAATTAGTGACCTGCTAGAATTTATTCTTACTAATTAATCTATGTATTTTGGCTTCCTTCAAATACCTGGCACTTTACTATGCCCATTTCTTTAGAAAGTGTGCAGTCTGGTCTGTAGTTCACTGCTTCAATTCAGATTTTGTTTTTCAGACAGCTTCTTTTGAAAAGTCTGTACCTCCTCTTAATTATCTTCCCAGCAAATCAAATTTAAGCTCATGCTTTTTGTTAGATTTAACTCAATCTAACATTAAATGAAACTTGGCAACAAAATAAATATCTTCTAACAACTCTGAAGGTTACCTTCTGTGGGAATTCTTTCTAGATAATGTCAACATCCCTCCAGCTCTCAGCATATGGAGAGTTGGTTGATTCATATTTGTGCAGGAACAGACTAAGTCTGAACCCTGGTGTTATGTCTGGGGTATCAGCAGCATCCTTTTGCTGTTGCAGTTTGGCTTTACAGGATGTGCGACTGTGGGGTGTAGTGGATAAAATATGAGATGCAGGCTGGAGCAAGTTACTGAGAGTATGGTTCATGGGATGCATTTGTTCCTGGGCAGTGGGCTGTGGTTCATGACAGTTGGAGGGTTTATTGTTGGGGAGGTGGAGTGGTGCTGAAGAGCTGCTCAGAGGTGTAACATAGAAGTCCATTACTAGTTTAAAAAGTTGTGGAAATTTCTCCAAACTTAAACTACAGCAAAACTTCGCCAGAATTGACAAGCTCTTGCTGGTTTTTCCCCCATTATTTTTGCCTTTTATTACGCAAAAAAAAGATAATGTTGTTTTGGGTAGACCAGCAAAGCCAGGTGTGCCTGTCATCATTGCTCTGGTTAATTTAAGTAACCAAAGAGTCTTTTCAGTTATGACATTTTTCTCAGGAGTAATACTGCTAACTAAAACTTTGCTCAGTCAAAGTGCAATTGATGACAGAACTGGCCGAAGAAAAACAGTCAGGCTACAGACAGCTTTTTGTCAACCTAGAAAACAACGTGTACAGAGGTGAAAGCCAGCCCTGGAATCGCCAGCTTTCCACTGAAGGTGACACATGCCTCGAGTGCAGGCTAACACCAAGCGAGCTGTGTAACACTTGCGGTGCTCGTCCACACTGCTGCCTGGTCGCCTGCTTGCAGCTCAGGCTCAAAGCATAGAGGCTGTGCTGAGGGAGTGCCCAGCTCCGGGCACCTGCTGGTGGATTGGGCTGTAGCACGTTGATGAAGGAGAGCTTTTATCCATGTTGAGCACGCTCAGGCTCTGCCACTCCAGAGCTCAGTCTAAGTTTGTCTGAGCACATGCTTGCATGTAAGCTCTGGGGATGCTCGGCATGTTTTGATTTATGAACAGGCTTGGAAGTGCACCTGACTGCCCACATAGGCATACCCAATATTCTAAAGATTGACCTCCTTTTGAGAGTCACTGTGTTGACACTCAACTACTGCTGCCCTTGGCTCTGTTGCAGGGTGTTGTAATATTTACACGGTAGCAGCACACAGCACCTCTCATTACAACTAAGGCCCTGTGAAATAAATGAGAATCCTGTTACTGCAGTCACACCTTCACCTGTCATTGACATCTATTCTGTGTCCCTGTGTAGAGTCTGGTAGTAGCCTGCACCCCATCTGGATCATGACACACACATGTGTGTGATAATTTTCCATCCTACTGTGCCACGTTCAGTGCAATAATTGTGTTAAGTAACCACCCAAAACTGGGGCTTTGTCTCTAAATTCTTTTATGTTTTCTTTTCAGCACAAGCCAAGTGAGGCAGAGAGATGCAGAACCAACAACCTGCAGCGGGACTTCGAAGGGAGAGCAGTGCACTAACAAGGCCCTTCCATTCACCAGGCACTGTTTTCAGCGTATCCTCTTAACTCTTTGGGAGTTGCATTCAGGCGTGGAAGTTCTGTTTTAGGGGTTTTTTGTTTGTTTGTTAGATTTTTACATTGACAAATAAGTTTTTACAAAGAAATACCTATTTGTTAGTGTGTCAACTATTTTGCTTTTAACTTTTCTGGGTGATTTGGGTTTACAGACAGTGAAGATACGTAGTTTGCCACTGGTATCTATTATAGTAACATCATTTTACTTTGTAATCTGTGTTTGGTAGATGCAAGAAACCTGTACAAAAATGATCATCTTTCACGATGACTTGGTACAAACCACGTGGCTTTCAGCTTCTTGGTTTTCATGCAGTTCTTGGTAGGTTCCAATAGACTATCTTCCTATGACAGTGTTATTGGAACAGATTTTTATACATAGTATAAAAAGATGGCTTACACTGACTAGAAAGATGGAAATCATACTTTGCATTGTTCAAAGCAGCAGAATAGAAGGGGTCACAGAACCTCATAGTCTAGATGAGGAAGGATTCCCAGTGCTTGGAATTTCAAGCAAAGCTTGAAAAGGACTATAAGAGTCAATGGATTAAGATCACAGAAAGAAGAAAGCACATTAGAAGTGAGGTTTTGTTCTAAAGACTATAAACAGACAGACTTATGACGTGTAATACTTTATCTTTTTTGGTTTTAGCTGAAGAATTATTGGTGCTTTTTTTGAAGTGACTTCTTTTGTTGAAGCTTTTGGTTTTGGTATTTTAAGTGACTAGTGCTGATCTGTTCTAGTTACTATCAGACTGCAGCACCTTTTCAATCTTTTTGTTTTGCTGATGCCTTGTTTTTCTTGGTTGACTTTTTGCAGGCCCCTTAAAAGTGGTCTGCAGAGCAGTTCAGAATCTCTGTATGAGAGAGCACCATGGTGTGCAGTTGTCTTTGGGATTTGCCTCATGATTCGAATGTTTTTGAGTGGGGTTTTTTTAAGTTTAAGTGGTCTTGCTTGTTGGTGTGTGTAAAGCAGAGAAGTCAAGGGTAGTGATTTTGCATTTATGCCCATTTTTTCTCTCTGCATTTAATTCTCAGTGGAAAGAGTTTCTTTTAAAATGAACAGGCTCTTGGTTCTGACCCATCTGTCCAAGTCTGTTATCTGGACCGTTCAGCAGGTTTTTCATTTTCTTTGTCCTTTTTTTTGTGTTTGTGTTTTAACATTTTATGAACATACGTAGTGATGTTGAAGTCTGACAACTGTTCAAGATGGAAGGAGTTCTTCTAATGTTGTTAGAAAAAACCACAATGAGATATCTGTTTGATTTACTGTAAGTCTAGAAGCATTTTCACTCCTGCAAGGGTTTTTTCTGAAGGAAATCTCAGCAAGCTTACGTTTAGATTTATTTGACCTTTCTGTCTGATTGCACCTTTTTTTCAGAGGAGCAGGAAGGATCTTGAAACTTCTTTTTCTGTGCTCTAAAGATAAATGCCAAGAATGTACCTTAAAAGATTGAATTAAGAAATACTCTTTCTTTAATGTTTCAGTATGGATTGTCATTAGTCTGTAAGGAAATAGTCCTGTTGACTACACTGTTCCAACTGCTACTATTGATCTATTGATTAAGACTCCAGGAAAAGGCTTCTTTTTGCTAAGAACTCATTAGTGAAATGCCTGCTTTTATAAAACTATCTCAGCATATAATAAAATCATTAGAGATTCTGCATGAATGCAGTTTTTTCACCTTAAAAGTTGGGTTTGAACCTTACCTAGCTTTGAACTTGAATAGCAAAGTTAAGGTACTCATTAAAAATAACATCTATGGACAGATAGAGTGGAAGGCTCTGATCTTTATCAGATTGATAAATCAAAGGGCGTTCCTCCATCGTTGTCTCGTGTTATTCCTGATGCAGAAATGCACAGATATCTTATTGAACCGTTCTCAGCAGCTCTTCTCAAGTTGCACAGCCAAGTTTGCAGATGGTCAACAGTGCTCTGTGCCAGTTTTTGACATTACACATCAGACACCTCTGTGTGAAGAACATGCCAAAAAAATGGTAAGTACAAAGCCAAAACTGTATTTATTTATGTATTGGGATGATCAGGAGTTTTAACCCCAGTCTTCCTATGCACTCTTCCTTGACAATTAGCAAGTTGATGAACTTAAGAGCTCGTATCCTATTATTTTTCTTAAGAGGGTAAAACATGCCAAACATTCCCAGTATAAAGTATGTTGTGAAAATCTTTTCCATAGTTTTAAGGATATAATAAAGTGTGCATGAGAAAATCCTTCACTGGAAAAAAAATTGAATTCCTCTCTTGAACTGAGAAATGGAAGATCATTGTGAGATCCCGTGGTCATTTTATTTGGGCTCAGTCTTGGTCCTTGGATCTGAGTGTGAGTGTGGTATTAAGAAGTCTGCAGCTTAAGCAGTCTCAGTATATGGGGCCCAAAATATTTTCTAGAGGAAATGTAGATAGCAATTACAAGCATGCAGATAATGGTTTTGCTACTTTATTTACCTTCCAGTAACTATTAGAATTTATCTTTAACCTCCTTTGGGGATCAGTGGCCTACCTCAAGTTCAGAGAATGCAGAAATTAAGTTGATGTCCTCTGCTCTCCTTTTATGCCTTCTATTTTCCAGAAAAAACCTTAAGGATAATTCACAAACCTGCTTCTGTCTTGTCCCTCCTTCAAGGTGTCTTGTCTCACTTCAATTAGGTGTAAAACTGCCTTTGTTTGTTTGTTTGTTGGAGTTTTTTTGTTATGTCGTTGGGTTATTGTGTGGGTTTTGTTATTGCTTTTGTCCAGGCTCTCCAAAAGTTGTAAGTTACGGAGTTTTTTGGATTAAAATTTGAGAATTTGTGCTACGCAGATTTGTATGGGATTTTCCCCCTCTTCTAGGCAATCTTTCATGTCTCAAGGTTTACTTCTGTAGCAAATACAGTCCTCTGCCATTCCCAGTATGATGGCAACTAAAGAGTGATGATGGTTTGATTTATTTTTTAATGGGTCAGCGATTGCTGTTCAGAAGCAATGAGGCCATAGTTGTTTACCCACATCCTTACCCGAGTCCAACAGTATTAATTCTGTTTCCTCAATGCTGCCCCTCTGTTATGGCAGGGGACACTTGAAGATCCTGGCTTCAGCTGCTGCAGACTATCTGCGTTAACACCAACTCATAATAGTGTTTGGTCTTTAATACTTACAAGAGTGCTGCTAAGGGTTACAGTTTCACACTAGTTTAGTTAGGTTTTGCTATGACAATTTTTAAACTGATACTGCATATGTGATAAATCTCCTGTTTAGCAATACCTCATAATTTGGTCTGTGTTATTTTTGCCATTGGGATCAATGGGGAAGAAGCAGATCAAATTTTGTAGCCAAGCCTGGGTGTAAGTTAGCAGTCTCTTTTACATTACATGTGAATGTCTGTGGAATGGCCAGGGTGAAAAAAGCAAGGAAAGTAACACTAGTTCTCAATATGCTCTCATTGCTATTGTTTTGCTCCCAAAGGATAATTTCTTGAGAGGAGACAGCTCCCGTAAAGTTCAGCACCAGCAGCAGAGGAAACCCAGGAAAAAAACGAAGCCACCTGCACTTACCAAAAAACACAAGAAGAAGAGAAGGCGAGGCCCACGCCGGCCCCAGAAACCCATTCCTCCTGCAGTGCCCCAAGGGAACCTCACCATGCCTGCCAGTGTCTCACTGCCAGTAGAGATACCCCACATACGGTCAGTGGTAGGCCTGCCCCAGTTTCCCACTGTTGGCTTGAATGTTGTCCGTGAGCACTGGAGAAAGGTGTGATTTTGCTGTGCTGGTCAGCATCTGGAGCAGGGCTAGAAATTGCATCTCCATTGACTGTTGAAAAAAAACTTCAGAGTGGGTCATTTTGGATTTGAGCAATGATTGGGTTTGATGGATAAAATATTTTGACCCTGATGTCACATCTTATGTACTTAGTGAGTAGGCTAAGCTTCCTAAAGAAACTTCCTAAATGCATTTTTTCCAAGATGGGGTAAAAAAATATGGGGAAACATCCCCATCTAGATGGATATGCATTCATAGTTGTCTTTTGGAGGAACCAGAGTTGAACAGCAAGGACTAATGTTACTTTCTGTTCAGGAGCCCTTCCACACCAGAGCTGAGTGCTGATGAGCTGCCTGATGATATCGCCAATGAAATCACAGACATTCCACATGACTTGGAATTGAATCAGGAGGACTTCTCTGATGTCCTGCCACGGCTGCCTGATGACTTGCAAGATTTTGATTTCTTTGAAGGTACCATTTTATTTTATGCTAGCATGAACACAGTGAACTGAAGAAGTGAGTGTTTCTAAACTGCATTTTGGGGAGTTGTTTGCTTTCTTACAGAGTTATAAATTCTAGAGAAGGAAGTGTGCATTTGATCTATTGTTTGTGAGCTCTGAAGTAAAGCAGACTTTAAGAAGGCTGTGTATAGTTCTCTGCTTGCTCATATAATTACTACTTTGAAAATCCTAATTAGTTTATTATTTTAATAATTCATTTTACATTTTTACTGCCTGTCAGTGTTACAGTTTAATCAACAGTATTCACAGTAATGGCATCTTTCTGCCATTGAGTGGGGCTGGAATCACAGTCAATATTGGCCTTTGATAAAAAGAGAAGAGAGTGAGAATAAAATTTTTAAATACGTTTCTGAAACTAGTTCTTGATCAGAACTGTACCTGAATTTCTGCGTTCAAAAGCTCAGTACCTATCACATATAACACAGAAATTAGAACAGCCTGGAGTTGGGTACGTGATTTCTTTGGTCGTTTTCTGATATAACATGACATCAGACTGTGCTTGAGTTGATATTAACCTAAATTATACTGTCTGTGTAAATTTTAGGTCCAGGCTGTAATATTGGTAAGTAGAAGGGGGTTTGTGGACTATTTGTGTTATTGCAGCATTGAAGAAAATGTTACTAGACCTAGAGTAAAAATGCTTAAATAAGTTTAAGAGGCATCTCCCATTGTAGTATGTGGAAAAGGATGGTGGAGAGGGGGAGTTCCATTGAAGAGGAAGGTGTAATTTCTTGGTTTTCTTACCTTGTTTACCTAGTGAAGACTGATGAATGATATTTTCTGTGTACGGCAAGCCATGCTGGAAGGTTATCATACACTGCAGCTCTGTACTGCACTGTCTGTACATCTGCATCCTTAGAGTGCCAGTGCCAGGCTCACCTGAGAGGTGAGTGCTAACTCATGGTGTCCCTGTTTCTACAGGTAAAAATGGAGATCTCCTTCCAACTACAGAAGAGGCTGAAGAACTGGAACGTGCCCTACAGGCTGTAACTTCTCTTGAGTGCCTGAGTACCATTGGAGTACTTACACAGACAGATGGTGTGCCAGTTCAGGAGCTGTCAGATAGAGCGATAGGGGTGTTCTCTACAGGTGCTGGAGCTCCAGGAATGCAGTCCTTGAGTCGAGAGGTTAACACGGATCTGGGGGAGCTGTTGAATGGGCGTATAGTACATGATAATTTCTCCGGTCTGGAGCTGGATGAGAACTTGCTCCGTTCTGCTACCTTGTCCAACCCACCTACGCCCCTGGCAGGGCAGATCCAGGGGCAGTTCTCAGCCCCAGCCAACGTTGGCCTTACTTCTGCCACTCTGATAAGCCAGAGTGGCCTTGGGGAGAGAGCCTTCCCGGGACAGTTTCATGGACTTCATGATGGCAGCCATGCCTCCCAGAGGCCCCACCCTGCCCAGCTGCTGAGCAAGGCAGATGACCTGATCACCTCACGACAGCAATACAGCAGTGACCATTCACACTCCTCACCCCATGGAAGCCATTATGATAGTGAGCATGTGCCGTCTCCCTACAGTGACCATATCACATCCCCTCACACCACATCCTTCTCTGGTGATAATTTGGCAGCTACCTTCTCAGCAGAGATGCCCATGATGGCACAGCACTTGCTCCCAACTCAGCTGGATGTGCCACTTAGCGGGGTGGTCAACCCCAGAACTCACTGGGGAAATCTTCCTGTCAATCTTGGGGACCCCTCTCCGTTTAGCAACCTTCTTGGTGCAGATGGACACCTCCTGTCCACCTCCCTGTCCACACCACCTACCACCTCGCACTCAGAGACCACACAGCCTGCCTTCGCCACTGTGACCCCCAACAGCTCCAGTGTGCTTCCGGGGTTACCGCAGACCAGTTTTAGTGGCATGGGTCCTGCCTCTGCTGAACTCATGGGCTCCACCTCCCCTAAACAACAGCTCCCTCAGTTCAGCGCAGCCTTTGGGCACCAGCTGAGCTCCCACAGTGGCATTCCCAAGGACCTGCAGCCCAGCCACAGCTCCATAGCTCCTCCCACGGGCTTCGCAGTGACCGGTGCCACCGCTACCAGTACCAATAACGCATCCGCGCCCTTCACCACCTCCAACTGAGCTTGTCTGCCTGGCTCCATGCAGGTAGATGGGGGACCTGTATTTTCTATCTTTTCTTTTTTCCTTTTCCTTTATTTTTTTCTGTCCTCTCTTCCTTCCCTGTTTTTTAAGAGGGGGTTGAGAAGAAAACCCCTGCTTCAGTACTGACCAGGGTTAGCCCTCTGTGAACCTTGCTGTAGCGTTCACATGTGCTTGTTATGCACTGGTGCTCATTTATTGCAGGCAGGTTCACCGTTCCCCAATAATTCCTTAAGGATACAGCACAGTTACTGGATGTAATTGATCTTAGCAGTAAGACCTAGAAATGGGAAGATACCTCAGATCATTGATGCATTTTACTGTTCCCTAGGGTTCAGATCAGTGCTTGCTATCCCATTAGCATCTGGTAGAAAGTTTTCCAGTGGGAAGAAGTCTCTTGTTTTATTTATTTTATTTTTAATTTACTTTTTTTCCAAAGGTAGCATCTGGCATGGAAAACTTGGCTGCACACATTGATTTGAAAATGGTGCGCTGAAGTCCTAAATCAAGATCATGGTTCAAGGATGAGTTTGGCATTTTCTTAAAATAGTCTCTTGACCTTCTCTGTGTGCGTGTATGTTTGGGGTGCAGGGAGCAGAACTTCTTTTCTTCTTTTGGTGAAGAAGTGGGAGTTGTCCCCTTCCAGAACTGGTCACTGTTCTTATTGCATGCTGATTTGGGTTTTTTTTTATTATCATGATTTGTAATTAATTGAGTAGCAAAGGGATCAGTTGACTGGTTACCCATCAGTTTGAAGGCTGATATGAAGTTAGCCCAGGGAAAAAAAAAGAAACAGGATTGAAATAGACCATGGATTCCTGAAGATTCCCTTCCTTGCTGAATTACTGTGGCCTTGTAGCATTGATGATTTGCCTTTTCAATTGTGTCTTTGTCCAGAACTCTTTGCCTGACAGGCTAACAGGTATTGCCCAGCTGAAACCGGAAGAATTTGGTTGGTATTCTCCCTGTCCACACAAGTCTAGGTCAGACCCTTTGCAAGTTTCAAATGGATGCATTTCTCAAAATATGTCTAGCTAGCGAGACTTCCTTGGATAGTTTTTAATCCCCTGAGAGCCATATAGTTTTTTTGACATGTGTAGGATTTGATCCTCTGTTTGGGAAGCTGAATGTATGTAAGGAACTAGCAGGTACCTATCAGCAGTCATGGCTAACCAAAAGAGAAATCACTAAAGCAAAATAGGTAAGAATTCCTTCTGTCTGCAGGATGGTTTTGTTTGTACTGATCACCTGCTAAAGATAGTATTCAGACTCTTTGGTAGTAATTTCAGTTCCTAAAGAAAGGAATCAGCTAGGTTTTAGAATTTTTTAAAATTAATTAATTAATTTTATTTTTTAATTTTACCTTTTTTAAACCAAGAGATAACAACAGCAGAAATTCTGAGGTGTTTACTTGCATCTTCTTATCAAGAAAGAAACAAAGGACTTTGCTTGTGGCTCTATAGGACTCAAATTTGCTACTGTGCTCTGACTTTGACTGTAAAAGTAGCTCTTATTTAATATAATAAATCTCTACTCTTGGTTTGTTTCTGAGATGCAGATGAGAGAAAATAGAATATTCTTCATTTCAGCCTTTTACTGTAGAAGACGGATTTCATTCTACCTTACAGCAAAAAGTCCTACCTACATGTATTGTAGTCTATTTCAGGAAATTAGGAGATAACCAAGCACATGTAATAGGGAGGCCTAATAAATTTTTGGAGCAAAGGATCATTGACCGAAGTTTAGTTGCTATAGAAATTCATTTTATTAGCAGTCAGGCACACACCAAAATCTCTGACCCAAACCTCTCCTTCCATCTTCCTAAGGAACAGAATTTAAATGGGATAGGTCTTGTGTCTTACTATTGTAGCAATCATACTATCCATCTTTTCTTGAAAGATCTCTCCTCTTTAAATATAAAAGAGCGTGGATGATGCATATGTCCTTTTCTGAGATTGCAAGTGTATGTGGGTGGAGGAAACAAAAATTATTTTCATGCTTCTGTTGTTATGAAGTCATTATTTCATACTTGGTAAAATAGATCTGAATAATATAAGCTGAATATTTTTAAGTGGTGATTTAAATATGTTTGTAACATTTAAATGTTTTTAAATCACATAAAAAGTTTAATTGAAGCCTATGAAATCCTGCTTGTGATTGTCCTGCTGATTGAGGAATTGTGAATGAGGCAAATCTGATAAGGCTTTTATTTATTTTTGTGTTATGTTACCCATACTTTGTTGAGGAGACAACTGCTTGATTTGCAAATGATTTTTGTTGTGTCCATATACCTTCTTCAGTTTGTTCAGATGACTGAAAAAGAGTGGAGAACTAGTATACCAAATAGTTTATTCTTTAATCTTTTTGTGCATTCACATAATTTTAGAGGGTGTCAATTTCTGTACATTGGTTTCAGGACTTTGGTCTTGAAATGGTTCTTGTGCCCATTAAACTAGTGCAGAGTATATTTGCCCCACATCACATTTCCCTTTCTTAGAAAATGCTGGGGGGAAAGGGAGGAGAGGAACTGAGTGCAAACTTCTCCTTGGTCTCATTGGTATAAATTACAAAGGAGCTTTTTCGTCTAAGGTCACCTTGAGTTTGTACTGATCTAACTCAGAACAGAACCCAGCTCCTGATCTATGTGTTGATCTAGACGGGAATTTCAAAAGCTGTCAGAGGTATGCAGGTCCACAATTCCCATTTGAAATCAATGGCCTTTATGTACCTGCATTTCTATAAAGTAACCTAGGATATCAACTCTCTTCCCCCACTTAGATTTCCATTTCTGTATATCCCTTGATGACTCTTCAAAAGTGACCGCATAACATTTTTCAATGAGCAAACTAAGTTTGCAATAAAGCTGCACTTTTAAAAATAAATTTCAGTTTGTATACATTTGAAATAGGAATCCCTCTGTCCTGTTTGACGCAGTGTTCTGAAATGGGCCACCACTCTTGCCTTTTTCTGGTTCACCTCATTTTTTCAATGCCACCAATGTCATGGTTACAGCCTAACAAGCAGTTACGGGTCTTGATCTTAGCTTTACAAGGTGGATCATTCCAGGTGGGCTTCTATACCCACACAGCCTGTTGACTTCAGTGCATCAGTGTCTTACTGTTGGATGCAAGAGATCCAATTGAGGGGTATGTGCAGTCAGAGATGTTTCATACCTCTTCCTCTGGGAAATACTGCACGTCTGGTTAAGGTAGTCCTTGAGGCTGTTACTTATGTGGTTCCCAAGTAGAATCTATGCTCCCTCACAAAGGTTTTTGAGTATCAGCTCTTACAGCAATTAGCACTCTCATCACACTTTCACCAAAGAGCCAGTGTAGCAATTTCAGTTCATTGATTTGAGATGCTTAATACCTGTTGTGCCCTTTACATGTTAAGAAATGGAATAAGTCTAGTTGAACCTAAAGGTTAATTTCTTTACATAAGATTTGAGTTTTAAAGAACTGAAAAAAAATTAGACATAGAATAGAATATGTAACATCACTTTTGGCAATAACAGCACCTCAATTAGTCTTTGTACAGAAGTACTTAACCCAAGATGAATTTCAGCAGTGTATGGAGGCTTATCAGGAACAGCTTCATGCTGGCCTGGTGTTTAAGGCATTCTTTACCATACGCTTTGACGTTTTCTTTCACCTGGGAAGACTTTACACCAACTCTGAGGAGAGCCATATGTGCTTAGATAGCTCAAAACTGATTTGTTCTTTGCCCTCATAATTATTATGATACAAGATGATGTATGTGTGATGCAAGAAGATGGAAAAGATGCGTAATTTTGTTTCCTCCTGCCTTCCAGTTCCTCCAGGTTCTTGCTTAGATCTATTCTTGTTATAGTAGCATGCTTCTCCCTATGGTTGAGCACATTGATAATGCTAAGAGGTAGCACAGTTGCAGGTCTGCCTCAGGTACTGTGGAGAAGATGGCAAGAGCTAGGTTTCCCACTGAAAATGAAGATTTGCAGTTCTCATTCGGAAAGCATTGGAAAGCCCTGAGAATCTTATCACCTGCTAGTCAAAAATCAGAAGAAATCTCTCAACAACTCTCTCTCAAAGGAGAGTTGTACCTAGTAGCAAAGAGAAGCTAAGGGAAGTGGCTTTTTAATTTTTAATTATTTTTTTAAAGAGAAAAATGACTATTGGGACATTCTGTTGTGAGCTGTTAGGCATGGTGTGATGCCACTGTCAAGACAAAAAGCCTAGGATTGAACCTGCAAACCAGTAGCCAAATTCAGTTCGAAGCTTTGTTTTGCTGTAACCACATCTAAATATAGTCTGGGATTGAATCTGGTTGCTAGAAGAGTCCTACAAAAGTGTACAATAAACACTGGATAGATGTCTTCCCTGAGAAGCTGGCCCTAGTGGCTACCTACACTGCTTTTGAACACCAGCTCCCTGAGCTCCTGCAGCCTCTTTGCTGCTGCATTTCCCTGTAGGTATTGGCAGGCCTCCAAGGGTATTTCTCCCTGTCTTTGTGCTGCATTGAGCTAAATCCACTCATGAATTCTCCAACAGTATGAGCCTTTGGGCAGAGAAGAGGGAAGCCTTTTTATAGAAGATCCAGGTACCTGTAGTTGGACCTTTCAAGACTTGCGGGGCGCAGAGACAGTGGCAGGAGGTGCTTTCAGCAGACAATAGAAAAATTACCTGCAGTGATTTTCTGCAGTGAGATGTTTGTGTGGCTGTCTGGGCAGCTTCCCTGGTGGAACTGGTGTATTTTTGCTTTTGTATTTTTACATGTGAAGGAGTCTCCTGTGCAAGGTCCAGTGGTGGTAGAAACAGCAACTGAAGGAATAGTTTTGGGCTAATGTGCTGACCAGATCTTTAGGTCTTTCTCATCTTCTGATCACAAGGCCTTTCTGATCTTTTGGGTAACATTTAATAAGGGGAATTTGTGGGCTACTTCTTGTACCCCCTTTATTTCCTTTCACTCAACATTCTTCATCATTCTTGTTTCTATTTTCCCATTCTCAGACACTTCTCCAGTGTAAGTGCCAACTGGTAAGTCTTCCATAGTTCTAAGTGAATCTGACTGTAAAATGAAAGGGAGGAGAGATTACTGCAATTCATAACATACATTTTGGATGCTAGAATGACAGTGCAGTAGATCAAAGTATTTCTCAGATCAATGAGTGAGGAGATGTTTCACAGCACGCTAATATGTCATGAACTAGATGCTGAGGATACAACATTGATCATGGGAGTGCACACACTAGCAGTGAATATACAGGTACTTTTAGCAAGAGTTTACCTTCTCAGAAGTTCCTCTTCTTTTGAGAAGTGTGTCAGTAGAAAGTCACAAAGAAAAATTTAAATTATTCTTTCTTAATACGCACAAGCCCAAATAAAAGTAAGGAGGGTTGGTGAAAAAAATCTATATTTATATTTACTAAACTTAAACTTGGACTTTAGGGGAAGTCTGGTCATGAGAGACCTTAGCTCTTGTCGGGTGAAGTTTTGGTCTTGTCTTTAAAAGTAGACAAAAACACTGTTATTGGGAAGAAAAGTTTGGTGGAGGAGAAGGAGTTAAAAAGATGCATCTTAAAACAATTTTCTCTCTCATGTCTTCAGCCTCTTTTTTTAAAAAAAGCAACAACACAGTAGTGACTATTTTGGGAGCTTTTCCCTTTGCTGTTCTGGTACTTCTCATTGTTGTTGAGTTCTTTGCTTTCCCCTGTTTTACTCTGCATTCACGTAGTCCTCTAGCTACTATGGAATAAGTTAATGTAGCGGAAACATGAAAGGAGAAAGTGGGTGTGGCTCTATGTTGAGAGCAATAGTTGGAGAAGGCTTTCTTTATATGTCTCCTTGAAGTAAGTGTTGGCACCTTTTCAGTCTACTCTAGGTCACAGAATTTGGTTTGGAAGTGAATAGGATGAAATTTGGGCTTTTGACCATAAAACTGTATTTACTCGCTGTAGAAAAATGCATTCTTCATACTCTTCCCCTTGCTAGTCCCCAAACACACACACAGCGAGATGTCCAGAGTGCCCGCGTGTCGACCACATAGGCATGTTGAACTTGGTCCAGTAATGCTAATGTTTAACCTGCTTTCTGTCGTTGTCAGCTGGTGCCCACGGAGATGAACTCGGGATAGGTAACGTTCCCAGATACCCTCTGGAAAACTTTAACTTTGGTGCAGATTGCTCTGATGTAGCTAACTGCGATGGCATTGGCTTCTACCTTGGAGTGGACTGATTTACCCTGAAATGACTCTCTAACCTGCATCTTAAACAGTGTAGTTGGTTCTGGTGCAAATAGATTAATTCTGAAGTGATGGACATTTTGATTCTCATGCAAAATAGCTACATCCTACCAGAAGGGGTTGAACCAGTTTCTCTGAACAGTGATGACCTTCACTGTACAGTTTTGGGTATGTCTCAGGGATTCCTTGTGGAAATAAGGGCAGTTAACAAAAAAAAAAAAAAAAAAAAAAAAGAAAAAAAAAAGAAAAAAAAAGTAAATAGTTTTAAAAGTAAATAATAATTTAAGGTAGAGCGTCACCTAAGTGAGAGCGCAAGAAGGAGAAATCTTTGTTCAGTTTTATAGTCAACGATGTCTGGCTTACGGACTCTTTCTCTTCTCGGGGCTCTCATCTCAAGTTCAACATACAGAATCTTTTTCATCACGCTCAGCTTTAAACTTTTTATTTAAAGATACCCTTCCCCAATGAGCTTTCAGAATACTTATTGTAGATTTTAAGAGAAATGGTATATTAATTTATGCTATTAACATCACCTCATAAATTATAAGTTTTATACTAAAGCTGTATTGAGTGTAATGAATTATGTTGCATATGTGTTTTTAATAGCTATAAAATTATATACAAGCTTTTTTGGAAAAACAAACTAGTGAAGCACCTTTTTACACTGGATCTTTGCCGTGTCAAGGTGTACAGCTATTCTTTGCTACCTTGCAGATATCTATATCTATATATAGATATATATATAAATAAAATAAAATGGTATCCTGTATCAACAAGTATAGAACTCTTTTTAACCCTTATATTACTGTTCCTATAACTCTTTTTAAAATTTGAGTGTTACATTCTGCAATAATTTATCCGTGGTTTGTACCTATGATTAGAAATTTAGTTACAGGGTAAATAGATCAAATTTTAAAGATCCAACTACTGTAGCTGGAAGTCGTGAACCAAGTTTGTAAGACCTTTTCTTTTTTTTAATGTATTTATTTCCAGTTAGCTCTGTGAGTTGGAATTTGAAAAGTTGGAACATTAGGAATCTACAGTGTCTTATTCAGGAATTTTCCCCCTCCTTTCCTCACAAAGGAATTCCCACTGTGACTTATAAATAGAATTAGACTGCTTGTGTGCATGTATGTATTATATATACACACAAAAAATATGCATTGGGGGGGATGTATGTGCGATACGAATGTGTATATTGTATGTAGGTCATAGTTTTGTAAAGAGAAAAGTAGTTGAGAGGTGATGGAATGTATTGTAGAAATGTGATTATTTAGTAGGGGGTTGTTATGTCCTCACTGTTGTATAAATAACTGAAACTCTCTACTATATAATCTTCTGTTATAAGGCTAACTCTGATATCATGTCAATTTTACTGTTTTTCAAATGAGTTGCATTGAGCCCTGTTTAAAATGCCATGAAAATACCAAGCTCCCAAAGACAGCCTTTAAATAAAACAAAGGGGGGATGAGGAATGATGGGAGAAATGAGTTTTTTGGGAGAAACTGAATGGGAAGGTTTGCATTTGGTGGGATGGGGAGGCATGAGAATTGCTGTATCTGTGCAAATTAATACCCAAATCTCCTGTGGTCTAACTTGGAAAATGTTGTCAATCAGTGTACTTGTGTTTTCCAATGAGGTTGTAAGGGGCACCGTTTGTGGAGTG